GTGGCACTGTTAGGAGGCCTTGTTGGAGGAGGTGTGTCACTGGAGGGTGGGCTTTGAGGTCTCCAAAGATCCTCAGTTCACTCCCTGTTGCCTGTGGATCAAGATGTAGAACTTTGAGCTACCTCTCCAGCACCATGTCCGCCTGCATGCTGCCATGGCATGTCACGGCATGGTGACAACAGACTGAACCTCTGAACTGTAAGCCAGCACCAATTAAATGTTTTCCTTTATACGAGTTGCTGTGGTCATGGTGTCTCTTCACAGCAATAAAACCCTAACTAAGACACTTTTAAGAACTCACAATCCTGTTGCCTCAGCCTTCCAGGGGCCAGTGGAAATTAACTTTTTGCTTTATATTATTCATCAAAAGAACCTGGGTATCTAAATGTGAAACAAAACTTGCCAAGCATAAAGAGAAACTGGAGAAGACTCATGGCCTTGAAGATGGACAATTTCCTTAAGCAAGACACAAAGCTGAAGGCTCCAGGAGACCCAGATGTCTAAGCACTTTGGAAAAGACAATTAGAAGGAGAAAAGTGACAAGCTGAAAAGTGGCACCATTTCCAAGCAGGCAGAAGTGCTGTGTCTCTGGAAGGCATAGAAAATTCCCTCAAATCAATACAAAGGCCTCAAAACGCCAACAACAAATCAACAGTCTCAGCAGTTCAAAGACAGAATAAAATGTACATTAAAAAATGCTCAAAAACACCCAAACTGAGGGAAATGCAAGCGAATGAGTCGCATTCCCTCATATTGCCAGGAGCTAGCATTTTGAAAACGTTGAGCATTAATGAGGGTGTGAAGAGAAGGGCACACTTCTACACGGCCATGGGAGTCTGGACTGCTCACCGCTTTAAACGGTGATTTGGCAAGGTTATTAAAATGGAAAGTGCATGTACCTGACAATTCTGATTCTGGGTAGAAATACTCCCTCCTGTGCCCACAAAGCATGTATAAAAATAAAAGTGCTGATCACCCTGTCTTTCATAAAACCAGAACCCTAAAATATCTATCAATTAGGTAATAGCTAAAGGGAACTCTGGACCATTCCATGGAATACTATGCAGTGGTCAAAAGGAGCGACTTATTCCACATGCAATGCCATGTAACAGTACATATGAAAAAGCAGGACTGAGGAAATGATTCAGCCAGGAAAGGTTTGTGAAGATCTGAGCTAGAATTCCAGAACCCATCTAAAAAGCTGAGTATGGTGGCACATGCTGGTACCTCAGTACTGGGGTGATGGAGATGAGCAGATCCCTGGGGCTCATTGGGCAGCCAGCCTCACCCAATCAGTGAGTCCCAAGTGTCAATGAGAGGCCCTGTTTTAAAAAACACAGTGGGTAGCTCCTGAGAAACAACTTCTAGTGCAGGCCTCTATCCTTCACATACGTACACGTGTACATACTCCCAGACAGAAACACAGAAAAGAAAACAAAATCTGCAGGAAAAATGACCACAAAATAAAGTGATTCACATTTTAAACACACGCAACAGTATCATCTACACCTCTAATAATCGAGGTGTCAGCAAATGTATTGAAAATGGTATGAAACATGACACCAGGTCTGGGGACAGGAGTGGATGGCACGTCTTGGTTGCCAACGTGATATTATTCAGAACCATCTAGGAGGCAAGCCTCTAGGCTTAACTGAGGTGGAAAGACCCACTCTGAATGTGGGCAGCACCATGGGTGGGTGGGCAGGTGGGCCTTATTCGTAAACAGGACAAAGCCAGCTGAGGACCAGTTTTAGCCTGGCTCTGCTTCCTGAGTTTGGACATGGCGTGGCCAGCTGCCTCGATGTCCTGTTGCCACACCTTCCCTGCCCTGGCAGACTAGTACCCCCTTCCACTGTGGGCCACACGGAACCTACCTTAGCTCCTGTTCCACTGCTGTGATAAGACATCAAGACCAAGGCAACTAACGAAAGGGTTTATTTGCAGCTCACGGTTTCAGAGGGTGAGTCCACGGCCATCACGGTGGGAAGCATGGCAGCAAGCGTGACACAGCAGTTATAGCGGAGAGCTCACATCTTGAGATACAACTACAAGGCAGAAGAGCTAACTGGGAACGGCTGGTCTTTGGAAATACCAAAGACCCCCACCCCAAAGTGACACACCTCCTTCAACAAGATGACACATCCTAATCTTTCCCACAGTTCCAACTGGCGACGGCGCGTTCAAACCACCTCAAAACCCTTCCTCTCTTGACGTTTGTCAGAGCGGAAGAGTACCTAATGTAGGAGGGATGGCCCCCAAAGGGGCTGTGTAACGGGTGATCACTCTGACCTATCATTTCACTACCAGCAGCAAAACACTTTTTAGAAGCTAATATTAAATTTATTTTGTGAGGAGCAAGAAACTTGAAGACAAAAACAGTGTGTAGAGATCCCATTCTGCTCTCCATTATGAGACCTTGTTTTTGTGAGGCAAAAGGCAGCTTTGTTCCCTGTGGAAGAGCTCCTGCAGAGGGATCACCATGTGCTGGGAGGGCTACCCTGGGCTGCCAGACCAGGAATGTTTGGGACAGAAGTTTCAGAGCTTCTACTGGAAGCAGTCACATCCGGTGCCGGGCTCCTCCCAACTGCCAGTTGCTGCTCACAGCATCTCATGCGTCCTGACTGAGGAAACAGGCAGCCAGTGTGGGAGACTGAGGCAGGAAGATTGCTGAGAGGTCACACTGAATTTGAGGCCATCCCGGGCTATGGTGTAATAGCCCATCTCAAAAAACAAAACAACAAAACAAACAAACAAAAACCAAGCAAACCAAACCAAACCAATGAAACAACCAAGAGAGAGAGAGAGAGAGAGAGAGAGAGAGAGAGAGAGAGAGAGAGAGGAATCATAGCAAATGTGTCTGATGACTTATTATCCATCAGGCCTCGTGCCCAGGGCTCAGCACCCCTAATTTCACCCAATACAGGAATCCCAAGAGAACAGCAGCTTTGTTGCCCATTTAACAGGTCAAGAAGGGGAGGTTCAGCTGGATTTGGAATTGCAAAATCAAATGCCCAAACTGCAATGGATGCCACTGACTTAAGTCCTCCATCAGGCCTCCTCCTCAAACAGCCTACCCAATCACACTAAATAGTGAGGCTGGCTTTGCTTCAATTTGTATATGTACATCAACATTCAATTTCTTCCCATTCAAGGTAAGGGATAAAGAAGGGCTACCATTGCTCCTGTGCGGCCCTGGCGATCCACCAAGTCTGGTCCACAGTGAGTAGAGAAGTCGTCTGTACACCACAGTGTCAGGAGCCGAGGCACTGAAGCCCAGTGGCTCCGCCAGGAACAAGGGGATTGTAAGGCAGATGACACATTCCCACGGAGGCCGTCCTGCCCCGTCAGAGCGCAGATGTCCTGGTTTCCTGTACTTTACTTATCAGCAGAAGCTGTGTTCATCACATCAGCTTATGGCCGGGGCTCTAGTGGTACCAGTCAGCAAAGGCCTGGAATTCCTTTCTTCCTCCAACTGGTGTTCCTGGGGTAGGAGTGAGGGGGTGTTCCATGCTAGTCCTGTTTCTAATCCATCACCAGACAGCAGTGCAGGAAAGAGCAGGTGACGTGGTCCAGCCTGCAAGGTGGGTGGTACATTTGCCTTCCTGATGCTGAGAACGCTTAGAAAAACTAATGGTATAGCAAAGTTCCCCCAACGTACGATGCTCAGGGAAATTTAGCAAGAAGAAGGGCAGATGGGATAGATGGATTCATTTAAGTCAGGGAACACGAAACCATTCTGGGGACATTTCCTCTGAATGGAACATGTTTTTCCCCTCGCTGCCTCCAGCTATCTCCCAACCCTGGTCCTAGTAGGGACACAGCTAAGCCACATTCCGCACCCACACACATGCATGTGTTCGAAGGAGCCTCTGCGTGGTCCCCTTTCCTTGGCAAGACCAGACCTCAGCTTACTATAAATCCTTCCCAATTTCCAAGATGCAAAGCAGTTCCCATTTTCTTGGTGACACATTTTTGATCACTCCTAGCTCATTTCCAGTTCTTCCAAGGAACTGGCTCAGTCATGAAATTCCACACCACTTTTATACTGGCATCAATGTGCACGTGTCAAGCTGCCCCTGAAGAATTAAGCTTGATCCTTCTCCAACTGCAGCTCTGTGAAGTCCAGGGTGGGTCTCCCCAGCCCCCTGTGTGTGAACAACTGGTCCACGAGAAACAATGTTGATTGAAAAGATGTCTGGATGAAGACATGACAAGTATAGTGCCTGGCTTATCTAAGATGTCAAGTATGATACATATTTCCCACACTACAAGTATTTAACATAGGAATTCCTTACCCCGTTGTCCCTTAGCTAACAATCCATCCAAGAAAGCTAACCGAGGTTTACTCATATCTGATAGAAGCAGGCCCATTTGCACACACATGACAGCTGAAACAAGCCTGGAGATCCTTCTTCATCACCCAGCCTGATGCTGGTTTTGAGGTGCATGGTGCTGAGTGCCAGGACGTTCCAGCCCCACCAGAATACATCTCAGAATCAAGCAGCGCTTCGGTGTGGGGCAAAAGGTTTCTCGGGAACAGCAGTGGTTAAGAATGGAAGGATGTTGGGCAAATAGAAAAGTTATTGATTGTGGGGTAAGGGTGTCTTTACAGTTTATGTAGAAAATTCCTAGTAAGCAAACAGTTTTAAAGAGATAACACTAGATGTTAAAAGGTCTCAGTTACCTGCCCCTAGGGTCAGGCGGGACATCTCAAGGCACCACACTCCGGGGAGTCGGGTTCCCGTGGGATGCCTAGTGCCCCTGCCACCCTGCACGCTCCGTAGGAAGCGCTGGGTCTGAGGGAAGGGCCAGGCTGCCTCCCCCAAAAGCGTAGAGCTCGCTCCGGCTCTGGTGTTCGCGGAGCAAAGTCTCTGCGGTGGCCCTGCCAGCGGGGACACGCGTCGCACAGACGCTCCGGGTCACCAGAGACAAACTGAGTTTGGAATTTTGCCTGCCCCGCAGCCCGGGATGGGATGGCCGCTCCCCTCGCCCCTACTCACCTGCTTGTCTGAGCCATGTCCATTTTCCTCTTTGCTTCTGGCTCCCGAAGGCATCTGTGCAGCGACCGGGTTCCAAGGCTCACCAAGAGAAGAGACAGGGTGGTATGGTAGTGGGAGGTGCACTCGCCAGAGTCCCCGCCCTGTCCTGGGGGGTAGGGGTGGAGGGGTGCAGAACAGCCGATCTGGTTCCCACTAAGCCCCTGGTATCCCCCGGCGACTTCGCACGATGGGTGACTGGACCCCCGGGAGGAAGGGGCATGCAGCGTGCAAAACTTTGGGTCCTCCAGCGGCGACTGCCGGAAAGGCCGCCTTTACTTCTGCCCGGGGTCGCTCCAGTTGCGGGGTTGCTGGCTGGACAAGGCGGCGGTGCGCAGCATCCTGGCTCGAGGCGACCCTGCCCGGCTGAACCCGCGCGGCTCTCGGCCTCTGCACCGCTCTGCGCTCCGCCAGCCCGACTGCGCGCTCTCCCGGGCCCCGCGCACTCCGCGCCTCTCTGGCGCCCCCAGCGGCCACGCGCAGCACAGCAGGGCCGGGCAGGGCCGAGCGCGCCCCGCCTCCTGCCTCCTCCGCCGCCCTCCTCCCCCTCGCAGAGCACTCAATGTCGGAACGTTCCGAAGATGACGTCGGAGCGTTCTCGAATCCCGTGTCTCTCGGCTGCTGCTGCCGAAGGAACAGGGAAAAAGCAACAAGAAGGAACAGCAATGGCGACACTGCACCGCAAAGTGCCCAGTCCGGAGGCGTTTCTGGGCAAACCCTGGTCCTCCTGGATCGACGCCGCCAAATTACACTGCTCCGACAGTAAGAACCCCATCGCCTGCTCCTCCTTTTATTATCCTGTAACCTTTCCATTCACCTAGAGCCACTGGGAAAAAGTGTGTGTGTGTGAGAGAGAGTGGCCCCCGGCGTCCTCCATGCTTCTCCCTCTCTCTCTAAATAAATACACACAGACACAGACCATCAGGACACAGAGAGGCCCGGCTGCCAGCAAGGCTGTCTGTCTGTCTGTGTCCGGCTCCCTGGGGCAGGCAGCCCGCGGGGTGGGCTTTCGCAGCCCCACGGTGGTATCTGTTTAAAAGGCGACTCTGTTGCTGCTTGCATAGTTTTTTTGGTACCTATCTGGGCCAGGTAGATGGAAACCCGGACTCGGGAGAAAATGTTGCATTGTCAATTTTTGCAAGATTTTCAGATACAGTATTTATATCGATCTGTTGCCAATAAACACTCTCCCTCCCCCCTGACTTTGGCTTCCCCCCCTTTTTTCCTCATTTTCTTTTCTCCTTTTCTTTTTCATCTGCAGATGTAGATTTAGAAGAGGCTGGAAAAGAGGGTGGCAAAAGCAGGGAGGTTATGAGGCTTAATAAAGAAGGTAAGTGGAGCTCTCGGCGCTGTAGTGTCAGCTTGTGCGGCAGTCTTCACAGGCTTTGGAATATAATGTGGATTGTTCTGCTGGGTACAGAGTGACTAAGGCTTGTCAAAAATTGAGCACGCCCGGGTGACTACTGCTTCACTGTTAACTTCCTTCGAAGTATAAATACAACTGGGGTGGGGGGTGCAGACTGGGGGAGGATGGAGGCAGAAGTTTACCGCACTCCACTGGAGCCCATGTCTGAACCTCTTGATGGTATCTGCCATTCTCCTTGAAGCACCATTGGCCAGTGGTGGTGGTGGGGTGTGAAATCCCTGTGTGAGGCATAGGGCACCCTTCACAAGCATTCCAGCCTCTCTTGTGTCTAAATTCACAAGTTGTAAAGAACCCCACATGGTCAGTCATTCCAGCCAGCAGCGACTTCTCCACTCTCACTGAAAACCATTGCACATGGCAAGCCTTGGCTACAAGTGACATTTTTTGTCTGGTCGAAGATTGTAGGGGCATCAATATGTGCAGATCCCTAGCCAATCTGTGCTTCCCAGCATGCAAATATGATACCTGAAAGAGACATGATCACGGCTCTGGGTCTGTGAATGAAGCCCATAATGCCAGACCTGGGCATCACATACCTGTGGTTGTGTAAGTCAGTTTTGCTGTTTGTAAGCCCACCATTGGACACTCTGGCCTCTGGCTTCAGATGGAGCTACTCTGGAGGCCACTTTCTGCTTAGAGAAAAGGTGGGTTCATTTGAATTGTGATGCACTCATTGACTGTACAACTGGCTGAAGTTGGCCGTGGGAGGAAGGTGCAGGAGATGGCTGGGAGGTATTAAAAAAGTTAAGACATGACCGTAGGAGCATTTGCTTGTCCTCGATGAATGGAGAAAACCCATTTGACAGACTAGTCCACTGATGACAGGGGGTGTTGCCTGAAAAGGTGGATGGAACCTGCTTGGAAAGGTGGACCTCAGTTTGCGGACTGACACCCAAGACTGTTGGTTTTCAGTGCCGCATTAATTCTCGACTATCCAGTGAGGAAATTTTGCTCTTCCAGAAAGAATAATGCGGAGGTTAAAATGTGTATTCAAGGGCGGTTCTCTAGCTCCGTGTGTCTGCTAATTAAGTACTTTGGGAACAAAACATTATTCTAAAGATGTTTGCCTCTAAATATCTTAGCGTGATTTTGACGTGTGTGTTTAGGATGCACGAGGGAATGATGTCAAGTGGGCTCCTTACAAGTGGCAGCTTATTTGTGCTAAATGTCCATGTGTGTTGGTAATGGAAAGGGATCCCTGGTGATTGTCACTTCACGGGAAACTCTTAAGGTCTTGAACCACTCAGAGAGCTGAGCTCTGAGATCACCAGCTTTGTTGCCATGATGAAGCCTGTATGTTAAAGTTGACGAAAGGCTACGGCATCCTGGGATTGGCACCTGGGCAGGCCTGGGTGATGCATTGGAATTCTCCGGCCACCGCTCTCTATTTCTAAATACTCATGTTCCCAGATTCTCTTTGCTGCATGAGAAATGGATTCTTTTAAGGGCAAATGAAAAGCTCTCCTTCCCTCAGAAGTCATAGATGTTACATCTGGCTTATCACGTCCTCTGTCCTGTAAAGGTACAAAGATTTTGCTTCTAGTTGAATGCACCTTCATGGGGGACACCCACTGTTCAGTGCGCCATGCGGTTGGCCTACATAGCCACGCATGGACTTCCTCTCTTTGTTGTGGGCCTGGTGGAGTGGCCTTGGGTGAGAAGTTGAGAGGTTCCTGAGGTCGTCCTGGTATAGGAGTTCAGCTTTCCTTACAGGAAAAGAAAAAAAATATGTGCAACAAATCCGTGTTCCATGGTAAGAACTTCAAGGTTGGGCTGGGACTCTGTGTCAGAGTGTTTGGTCACGTCGGGCCTCCTTGTTGGAATCATCAGGTGGGAGGCCTTAGGGTGGGTAGATGTTTGTGGAGGGTTGTTGCAGGACATAAAATGGCCCTTGTGGGACACTGGGGATCTGTGTTTATGAGTATACATGACTGGTGCAGTTGGCTAGAAGCAGATCTTGAGAAGGAAGACATGTGGTAATAAAAGAATAAAAATTTAGGGTTGAAATTGAGAACCAGCAGGATTAACTGTTGTGGTGCCAAATAAATAACATAAAACTTACCATATTAAGCTCTTCTGAGTATATAGCCCAGTGGTATTTACAACCATCACCACCCCATTTCCCAGCCTTTTCACCGTCTCAGGCAGAAACTCTGTACCAGCGTATGTATATGATGACTTCCCATGTCCCCTCCCCTTCAGGCCTGGCTTCTCCTGTTCTCTTTCTGTCTCTGTGAAGGTCTCTGGTCTAGAGTCCTCATGTAAGCTGAATCACACAGTATTTGTCATTTGTGTTATCTTCTTTCTCTTGTGCGTTCAGGATTCGTCCATGTTATATGATGTATTGGTATATTCCTTTTCAAGGTAGAGTCCTGTTCCCTTCTATATATACTACTCACCCATTGCATATGTGGGTCACTTCCACCTTTGACTATTGTGAATACTGCTTCTTTGAGCACTGGTGTGATGCAATCATTTTTAGACTGAAGTCAGAGAGGGAAGTTGGACTGGAAATATAAAACAAGAATCCTTTGCCTTCTGAGCGTTCTCACCACTGCTTTGGAAGATCCGTAGGCACTTTCTGAATAACCTGGTGGTTGCAGTATCATTCGTGGTGCGTCCCTTGTCTCACCAACCTTCCTTTGCTTTGATCCATCACCTGTGTTGATTAGGAACGGTGAGCTCTGAAGTCTGCTCATCAGCTTTCTCATTCCCGCTAAAACTGTAGTTACAAAGAACTCAGCAAAGGCATTTGAATTGTAAACTGTCACTAATTCCTTTTGGCCTGGGCTTATGAGGACTGCCTTAGAGCAGATTCGCTGCAAGATGAACCAGGGAGAACTGGGAGCCAGCTCCCCACTTAGGCCCTGGGGAGAGCTTCACTCCTCGGGGCTGATTCTCCAGCTGTAAAGCAAGGGGTTTGGGACTAACTGCCCACCACAATCCCTCTGAGACTTCTTACCCAGGCTTCACTAGTGACTGTCGCTACCTTTAAGATGCACTCATGCTGAAGAGCCTGACTCCAAAGAAACTAAAAAAAAAGAAAAAGAAAAAACAAACAACAGCAAAACCCCTCACATTTAAAAAACAAAACAAAACAACAAAGCATCCTTAAATGACTTCAGAAATTGAGAATAACTGGGAGTAGTTTCTCAGTTTTTAAGTTTATCTCAATGCTGACAAAAAAAATCACTGTGTAGTCTGCTTGCTAGAAACGGTTGTGAGTGGTTTGGTGTCTTCAGTGGCTGAGTCCAGAATCCACAGAACAGAGGGCTTGAGTCTAGACCCCACAGAACAGAGGGGTTGAGTCCAGACCCCACAGAAGAGAGGGGCTGAGTCCAGACCCCACAGAAGAGAGGGGCTGAGTCTAGACCCCACAGAAGAGAGGGCTTGAGTCTAGACCCCACAGAAGAGAGGGGCTGAGTCTAGACCCCACAGAAGAGAGGGGCTGAGTCCAGACCCCACAGAAGAGAGGGGCTGAGTCTAGACCCCACAGAAGAGAGGGGCTGAGTCTAGACCCCACAAGTCCAGACCCCACGGAGGTAGAGCACCCACCAAATCTGTGTTCTCCCTATGAAGAGCACTCTGGCCTCAACTTGAGTCTGTCAAGCTGTAAGCTTTCCTCAGAGGAGGGTCCCAGGAACCTTGTTGGCCCAGTCTTCATGAGAACTGGGTTATGATAGAAAATTCCAAGAAAGGCTGTTTTTCTATGCTAACTCTGTATGCCACACTATTCTCTCCTCCAGCTTGGCACCTACCTGTCACCTGAAGACTTTTCCCAAGCGAAAGTCTTACTCAATTTGGGAAGATGTTCTTATTACTAAGGACCTCAACCACCTTTTTAAAAATAAATGCCAACTTATAGACAAAGAGTGGGGTCCATGTGTCTCAGAAGTGCCCTTACCTGTAAAA